CGCGCCCCGCCCCAGCCCCGCCTGGGGGCCCCCACCCAGCCGGCAGCCCTCCTGCGCCGGGCACTGGGTGCTGGGCCCTGGCACGCTGTCCCTGGGCCTGCCTCGGCCCCAGAGAGCGCCCTGCTCGGGTCCCAGGCCTCAGGTGCAGGAAGGTTGCAGCTCCCCATGTGCTCTCGCTCCGGTGCAGGCTTTTCCGAGAAAGACGCCGACGAGGTGAAAGGGATCTTCGTGGACACCAACCTGTACTTCTTGGCGCTGACGTTCTTCGTCGCAGCATTCCACGTGAGTCATCCCATGCTCCGTGCCCTGTTGGCCCTGGGGGTGCGGCCGCTGGACACATTTCCTCACAGGCTGCAGGGCTGTGCAGCGGCCTACGTGTGCGGCGGCGACAGTCGCTGGGCTCTCCTAGCACAGGCGGGGCTCCCAGAACTGCCCGGCCCCTGGGCGCCACTGGCCCTGAGAAGCTCACCATCGTGCCGTGTGGGCTGTCCGGGTGTGCGTGGTTAGGGGTGGCTTTGCAGGATGTCCCGCCACGCGTGAGCACTTGGTGTCTTGAAGGTGGCTGTGTGCGTGTTGTCACGTTTCTGTGTATGGAACCTGAGGGCCACAGGAGGCGGCCATGCCTCAGGGCCCTGTGGTCAGGGAGCACCAGGGCCAGTCCTGGGGTCTGCGGACCAGCACCCTCACCAGAGCTCCCCAGCCTGCATTGGGGGAGCTGGCGCCAGCCCCCCTGGAAAGGTCAGTCTCGGGTGAGAGCATGTGGCCTTTCAGACCGCCAGGCGGGGGCACTGCTCACCCAGGAGTGGCCCAGAGCCGGGGGGAGGGGGGTGCAGCCACCACGTTCCTGGGAGACTGCCGCCCAAGGTGTGAGGTGCGGACGTGCACGTTACGAAGCCCCCCAGACACCTGTGGCTCTGATGGGGCTGCTGAGGCACGGGAGCGCGGCCTCTCCTGGTGTGCTGCGAGGTGTGGCCAGCGCCCCATGTCTGCAGCAGGGAGCAGCGTGACGCCCTCTCCCTTCTAGCTCCTCTTCGATTTCCTGGCGTTTAAAAATGACATCAGCTTTTGGAAGAGGAAGAAGAACATGAGCGGGATGTCCACCAGGGCAGGCAAGTGCTGAGTGTCACCACACATCACCGTCACAGCTCACCTGGCGTGACTGGCCCTGGCTCACGCCCGGGTTTGGCTGGCTGTCACTGGCGGCCTGGCGTCTCACGTGCAAAGTGCAGGGAGACCGCAGTGCGGATGAGACTGCCCCACGACCTGTCACCTGGCAGCCACAGGGTGGCCAGGCCTTTGGGCGTGTGTGGAGGGTGGGCCCTGGCGGGTAGGGCTCAAGATGCCCGCCTGCCAGGGCGGGGCTGGCCGACAGGCGCGGGGACTGCCCAGCCTTGGGCGACGTTGCAGGGGCCTCTGCAGGACAGCTCGGTCCAGGCCCAGCCCTGAGCATGGCCTTGGAGCACGCAGGGCAGCGTGGCTGGGCAGCTTCTGTGGGATCAAAGAGCACCAGGGAAGGCCAGCCCTTCCTGCCTATGGGCAGTGCGTTCAGCTGCGGGGTCAGGGGCTGCGTCTCGGACAGCAGCAGCTCTCTGGCCTGGAGGGGCGGGACTTAGCCATTGCCCTCCTGCTGTCCCGCCCTCCCCAGGCAGCTGCTCTGCATCTCTAGGGACTGTAGGAGTTAGCGGGGGCTTTCGAGTGAAGAGACATGCATCTCACCAAATAGCCAGGAGACAGGGAAGGGGACCTGAGGGCCAGTCAGCGTCTGCTCAGTGTGTCTCCTGTGCTGGTTCACGTGTTTGCAGGCGTGTTCCACGAGCCCCTCCCTATAGCCTGCGGTCCTCAATCACTCTTTCACTACACGCTTCCAGCCACATAGGTGTATACTGGCCCTTCTCAGATGGGACGTGGGCTAGAATGCCTGAAGCCTAATGTCCACGGGCGTTTGGGTGGACATGTGTATCTGCACAGCAGTTGGGTTGTGGGTGTGCACGCGGGGGTGGGACCACGGGTAGGCGTGCACTTGGTCTGATGGGCTGTGGTGTGCATAGGCGCAGGGGTAAGGCTACAGGTGGGCGTGCACTCGGGGTCTGACGGGCTGTGGGTGGGCCTAGACACGGGTGGGGCTGCAGGTGGGTGCGCACTCAGGGTCTGATGGGCTGTGGGGCGGGGGGTGTGCATGGGCACAGGGCTGCCAGTAGCCATGCGATTGGACAGGTGTAGTGGGTGTGTGCAGAGGCGGGGTGCTCTGGCCGTGTGCGGTGTGGCCGACCACTCCACCTGGCCCTCAGCTGGCCCATGTCCCCGCAGTGCTGTGGCGTTGTTTCAGCACCGTGG